GCAGCTCTTTGTTGAAAGGAGTCACAAATTAAGTAAATGAAGCCATTAGGGACTTTGTACCTCTGTGTTTGGCTGCTGACCTTTGCCAAAGAGAGAAAGTTGTTGGGTCTTGACTTAGCTTAAATTGTCTTGTTGCTTTCTGGCGTAATTTCTATTTAGTTTGCTTTGTTTTTTGTGGGACTGCTGTTGATTTGCTGCTGGAAAACTGCTGTTGATTTGCACTTACTGATGTTTTGGTCTTTCTCATGTTTTTGTGGTTTGTGCTATTTTTGCAGAAAAAAAACAGCAATATTTTCAGTCTCCACATCTGTGGATTTGTGTGGTCACTAGATTATTTTGTTGCATGGAGGCTGACTTAGTATGAAGATATGAAGCTGTCTTTGATTCCATTAGCTGTTTGTGTTTCTGCTCTTGATGAGACTTGAATTACATGTTTCTGCTGCTTTACTGTGACAAATTCAAATGATGGGACCAATGTTGTGTTCAATCGTTTTAGCGGTGACATTGACAACAACTGAACAAACTCCTAAACGGGATTTTCAGGGACATTCAAGAGAGCTTAAAGTGGGAAGTGAAGGTAATGCAGTGCGTGTTTGCATGGATTTTTCTGGACACTGCAAGAGCAGTGAGAAAATTCAGTTGCAGTCTTTTAAAATGTTGTGCGCAGTCCTGTCAGTCTTTGCTTCAGTGTGTGCTCATCTATATGTACTGTGAGGTGAATGGCAAAAATACAGAATGAAGTTGGCTTTCGTTGTATGTTTTTATTGTGCCAGCTGCATTGTGTTGTGTGTTAAACAGGGAACATTTTGTTGTGTTTGTGACGCATTTTGTGTCGGATCACTGAGATAATGGTCTGAGGTGTTTTTGTTTTTTGTTGTTGCTTGTAGGTTTTTTCATTTTGAAATATTTCAGTGCTTCATGTCATCACAGATATTAACCCCCCACAACCGCCCTGAATTATTTTTACCTCCACCAAGAAGGTTTTGTTTTTGGTAGCAGTGGTTTGCGTGCTTCTGTGTGTGTGTGTCATTCGTTAGTAAACGCAATAGCTCGAAAAGTTTTGAATGTATTCTGATAAAACTTTGTAGGGGTGTAGAGTGGGGGCATGTTATCAGTCCTTTGAAAATCTCTTACATGCACCCTTTAATGTGAGCTTAATCATTTATCGGTCAGTAATCGACAAAAAAACATATCTTAGAAACTATGGCTCCGTGTGTGTGGTGTGTATTGTCAATTTACAGAATAAGAATTTAAAGTATCATACTCCTATTAATCTACTTCAAGATTAATCGATTGATCTGAATGTCAAAGTGATAATAATGCTATATAGTGCTATTTAAAGCTGTTTAAACGTCTTACTGTCATTGTTTTTATTGACAACATATAGGGAATGATATATGGAGATCCTAAATATCGTGTTACATCTGATCTCTTTTTAAGGTTAAATAACAATAAAAAACCTGAAATACATGTGGATACATTTTATGAAAATAACCAAAAAATCTTTAAAAATTATGCTTAAAATTCTAATGACTTTGTTTGGATCGTATACATTTAGGAAATGATACCCGTATATGGGGATTGTAAATCACATTATAGTTTGCATTCAAATGTCGTGTCACATTTGACCTCTGACCTCACTTTTATGTGTCACATTTACCTTTTATTTCAAGTTCACCCCAAGATGTGTTATATTTTTCAAGACAATACTGTCAAGAGGACGATAATGAGCTGCCTTGATAGTTGGAAATATAATAACTATCTAATAGGATGATATTATAAAATAAGGTCAAATTATTAATGTCCAGTTATTTACTCTTCCTTTATTTCCACTACCTACCCCTACGTGTTTGTGTAATCAGAGTAAACATCTGTCCTGCTGTCCTTATCTGATTTATACTGCACTGATTATTAAAGTAGCTTTAAAAAGAACAAAGAAAACAACATGAAATTACACAAAATACAATAATATTCCCTTAAAATAGAGACTAGAGAGTGTGCTGCCTTGGTGGAGGTTTGTACTCTCTGAGAACTTCTTGTTGTTTAAAGTATTCAGTTTGCACACTTGTAAGCGGATCACATAAGAATGTGCGACATTCGTGTTTGTGTCTGTGCCTTTCTAATTCTGGCTCTTGTGTTAAAGTTACGCTAGAACTCCAGTTGTAAGGTTATTGTGTTTTATCCCAGCTGATAAGCCTTTTGCTGGAACCACTGACAAACCAGCTACCCAGCGACAGGGGACCAAAGAGCAGCTCGCGGGTACGCAAAGACTTGACTTTTGCATTGACCAGCAGGTTTCTTGCTGTACAGTACACTTTATTGCTACATTACTCTCTCATTGTTAGTTTTGCTGCATGCTTGTGTTTTCGTCACATTGTTTGGCGGATTGAAATATGTTTGACTGTAGCTTGTCTGTGTGACTTTTTTAAAGTTAGTTAAATTGATTTCTAAGGTTAAGTCAATTTAAAAGCAAACCATTCGATGTTGTCTGAGTTTTTCTAAAGAACTTGAGTGTAACAACTTTAATTTACTCTATTTTTTTGATAAAATTGCTGGAAAAAAATTTTTTTATGCAGGTTAAAGATTTGTAGAAAAATCATTACTTTTATGCTTTCATGTTATGATATATTCACTGATATTACTATAGTCAGTGATATTTGATATATTTATGATGAAGTACTGGAGACCACGAGCGAAGAATGGAATGACTGATCTTACTGGTTCCTAATGGACTAGTGATCTACCAGAATGGTGATCACATTATACTTTATATATTAACTACTTACTTAATGAAGTAATGGTAATTGCTTTCATTCATACAGCTTAAAGGCTGGTCTGGTGTTTCCACAACTGCCAGCACACATTTGGGTGAAATAGGCAATTTATATTGAAATGTCACATTATTTTTTCCAAGCTAGTCACCTTTTAGGTATTTTAATTTGATTAGAACCTATTTTACATACTTTGTACCCTCTGCATTTAATTGGCTTTCCACCAGTTCTGTCACTGATAACTGGACCATAAAAGATAAAGCCCACTTTTGTCCAGTTTACTGAACAAAATGTAATATTTAATAGGACACTACAAACAAAGAATGATCGACCTTACTGGTCCTGAACAGACTATAGTATTAGTCATCAGGCAGAATGGGGATTTTGTCCTTTTTTATACGCTGAATACTTATTCATGAAGTAATGGTAATTTGATCATGTGCCTCAGCCTGGCTTTGTAAATTCTCCTGTGCAATTAAATAAAAGTTTGCCATATATTTACAGTAATTATAATTACCTATATTGTGGTCCCATTAACCTGATGAAATATGGAAGATAAAGTTAAATAACATAAAATCTGTACCTTAGAAATGCTTCTTGCCCTAATGCAGTGTTCAGTGTGTCCATATGAAGATGCTGAGTGCTATTTGTTATGGTGTGTCAGTACTATTTTAAGACACTGCATTTCCAATCCAGTGCACGAGTCTGTGTGTTATTTGAAAATAATTGAAAGTTAGGAGCTTTTCCTCTATCAGTCACTGTCAGGGTTAGAAATGAAGTGTAGGTGAAACATCTGGATATAAAAGCATGTTGCTTTTGATTTGTTGCATCAATTATTCTGTTGTTGAAGCTGAAGTTCTAGTTAATGCAAGTCAATTAAAACCAACTAAATAAATACAATTACAGCACAGACCTCAGCAGTGACCTTGACAGTTGAAGCTGAGAAGCAGGACACCCTAAAGACAATTGAAGGTATGTGCTGGCGTTCTTGACTGCTAAAGAGTTGTCACAGGAGTCTTGTATGAATGCAGGACTTTCGTCTACAAATATGAAAGACGCTGAATAAATTCACAGTTTCAAATCTGTGGTCCCGTCACGACCTTCTCAACTCCCAGCAGAGACAAAAAGGGTACAATGGGCAGCCTGCCTGCCTTTAAAGACTCTCAATACTCTCACAACAGGCAGCTGGGGGTCTGTGAACATTACAAAAACCTTTTAGTTTGCAGCACAGTTAATGTTAACCAGAAGGATAAACTCCTCAAGCTTTGAAAATCCACGAATGCAAAGCACAATCCTTACATAGCATCGCAGAAAATAACATTTAAATGTTTGAGCTTAAAATGAACTACATACTTGTCTATGTTTCATATTTACTGAGTACTGTTGTACTGAACATGCTGCGGCCACACAGGCTCAAATTTCAGGCATCGTTGAGTCTTTGCCTCATTTGTTCTTGTTGGCTGTGCAACTTCAAGTCTGAAGTTGCACTTTGGATATTTGTAAATCATTCACTGTTGATTTTTATAGACTTTCTTCTGTATTTTACTAGTTTGTTAACAAGTATTTTCTCTTATTTATCCTAAACATCACCATTCTTCTCGTGTTTGTTCGGTACTGTGTTTATGACTGAAGGTAAACCTGCTGGTTTTGATGTCATCCCTCTGCTACAGCTGGATACCAGAGCGCTGGAATGAAATTAGTGGCACTGTGCTTTCTTTATTCTCCTTGTTTTGTTTTTATTCAGCCGAATTGGTTGTTACTCACTTGTTATTACCTCTGAATACCAGATTTGCAGAATTATCTTCTTGTTCTTCTCAAACAGGAATAGTTGAGAGCTGTATTTGACAGACTTTTAAGTGCTATGTTTCGAATAGGCAGAGGTGTACCTGCCCTGACTGGGTATCAGTGTTATTTGTGTTTGTGCAATAGAGCTACCATATTGGATGCTTTTTATATTTTCTATTTTTGTTTTTAGTAGGTTAAAAAGTATATTTTTATACCAAACTAATCTTTTGTTATTAAATCCTATGGGTTACCATAATACATACCAACAGATTATTTTATCTATTTAATCCCAAGTTCTTCCAGTCATATTCATTCGAGACCTGGAGAGCCAAGTAGCTGAAGAGGGAGGTAGTGTTACCCTGCACTGTGAGCTATCAAAACCTGGAGTCCATGTAGAGTGGAAGAAAGGATCAGAAGTCCTGAGCTGTGGAGAAAAGTACCAGATAAAACAAAAAGGATTCTGTCATGAGCTGCACATTCTTGATTTGAGGCCTGGAGATACAGGAAGCTATTCCTGCTCTTTAGAGGATACAATAAGCTCAGCATCTCTGGTTGTAAATGGTAGGATGAAGCTATCGCATGTTTTCTTCTTCTTCCAACAAGTCCTTCATTTGTTACTTCATTTCTCCTTTCTTCATCATCCCTGTTCCTTTTTGCATAATTACTCCGTTTTCCTTTTTTTTGTCCATCAGCTCTTCCAGTTATTTTCACAAAAGAGCTGGAAAGCCAAACGGCTGATGAAGGTGACAGTGTCACCCTGAACTGTGAACTATCTAAAGCTGGTGTTCCTTTGGAGTGGAGGAAGGGAGAACTTGGTCTTTGTCCTTGTGCAAAGTATGAAATTAGACAAAAAGTACACCTGGCTACACTAATAATCCATGATGTTGACTCAGAGGATTCTGGGAGTTACACATGTGATGCCGGTGATCGTCGTAGCACTGCACAGCTAGCTGTGAAGGGTATGCTGTTGTTAGTAGTTTAAACATAGTGGCAATAGTGACTTTTTGGTTTATCTTTATTAGAATGTTGCTCGAAATATCTGACTTGACCTTAGGGTTAATACTCTAAACTCTAAACTAAAGTATGTAGCTTTGACTCCAACTTCTGCTGCTTACTTCTTCTCATGTGCGAGTTGAAGGCTAAAACTTGGCCTAAGTGTATTCATTCTTTCATTTCTCCTAAAAAATTTCCCTCATTTTTTCTCACTTTTCTACAGCCAAGCCTGTCCTTTTCAAAACCCAGCTACAGAACCTTGAAGGACAAGCAGGAGAGAGCGCCTGTCTTCGTTGTGAAATCACAAAGCCGGGGGTCAGTGTGGTCTGGAGGTGTGGTGATCGGGTGCTGGCATCCAGCAGCAAGTATCACCTGAAGCAGGAAGGGACTGTAGTTGAGCTTATTATCTACAAACTGCAAGGAACTGACTCAGGAGAGTACTCCTGTGATACAGGCAGGCAGACGACTTCAGCTGTCCTCACTGTGAAGGGTAGGATTTTTTTCTATTTAAGACTCCTCCTCCCATGCACTCTCTTGAGCTGGAGCCCAGTCATCCTTCATTTCCAACATACTCCCTCTTATTGACCATCTTCTCACAGAGCAACACTTGAGCATGAAGTGTTTTCAGTGTTCAAGAAAACTTGCTCGTCTCATATTCATTAGCACCTCACTCTTTTGTGCACTTCTTGTTATTTGTACGCACTTTTCTCTTGAGCTCAATCACTGATTTCACCATTTGAGCCTTTCACATTTCTGTCTTCACAAATATTAACAAACACTATTCTGTTTTCTTCACTTGGCACTGGTAATTGTAGCTCAGCAGAAATCTTCATAAATGATCAACTTGAACTTCACCAAACGTTGTGTGCTTCTAAACTGTATTTGTCAAACAGAGGTCGAGGTTAAAGTACTGAAATTCTTGGAGAGCTGCGTTGTGTACGAGGGTGAAGATGTCTGCTTTGAGTGTCTGGTTTCTCATGAGGAGGCACCAATGGCACTGTGGAAACTCCAGGATGTCCCTCTGCAGAATAATGAAATGAACCTGATCAAGGCTGAGGGCCGGCTGCACAGCCTCACACTCAGAGGTGTCACTACAGCTGATTCGGGGACAGTAACTTTCACTGTGGGAAACCACACTTCCACAGCTTCTCTGACAGTCAGAGGTAAGGGAATTGTAGGCAATGTATTCCTTGGGAACATCTTCCAGTTGGCTTCTACAATAATTTTGGGACTATCTTCTGCTCATTTGCTCTCAGTCTTCTTGTTTTTGGATACTTTCTCTCTATTTTTTCAGAAGTTCTTAAAAGCAACAACTGTCTTGTTATCTTTTCATCTTGCTATGGCATCTAAAGAAAATTCTCACTTTCCATTACATTTCTATTTCCAGAGTACATGCATGCTTACCTTACTTTCCATTGAACTTGGAACTAATAAAACTCTTTTACTTTTCATTTTAGTACTAAAATTACATATTGGTCTTGTTGATCAATGTGTTTTCATCCAGTAAATTTTTGTACATCACCGAATGCTGTTATAACTGTTGTTTTACTTTTCTTCAGTTAAGCTGAAGCTGGAAGTGTTGAGTCTTTGACTTTTTCATGTTTGGGGTTACTTGGATTAAGGATTTAAGACATGCACCATGCACCACCAACAGCAAAACTGTTCTGATTGTTGAGTTTTTTCTGATTAGTTGTATTTGTGACTTTCTTTAAACTTATGAATGGGTGGATTGTAGGTCTCCTTGGAGCACATTGATTGATTGTATGTAAATTTTGGAAGGACTGTGCAGCCTCGCTGTGGATTATAGTGTGTTTTCTGGTGTCAGTGTTCACTTTCTAAAGTTTTAAAGTCTGTCATCGTAATGAAATTGGTGTCTCTGGCAGCTGCACCTGTAGTATTCAAGAAGGAGCTGAAAAGTCAAGAGGCCAAAGAAGGTGGCGAAGCCTCTCTGTCCTGTGAGGCATCAAGCCCTGATCACAAGGTGACCTGGTGGAAGGGCTCAACTCTTCTCACACAGGGAGAGAAATACACCATGGAGCAAAAAGCAACCACTCACATTCTGATCATACACAAGCTGATCATGGAGGATAGTGGGGAATATACCTGTGATACTGGAGACCAGAAAAGCACTGCTACCCTGACTGTAAAAGGTAACAGAGCACATCTTCATCTATCATCTGTCTGTGTCTCTCATTTCCTTTCCTCTTGTCTTCATCCTTCCTGAAGTTCATATTCACCGCATTATTCAAGTACTGGAGAAAAGTGTATCCTCTACTCACAGCTAATTCTCTTGGATTCACAGATTTAGAGAATCCAGTGCTTTACTGGAATTATCTGATTTTATTTATATGCATTGTTGATAGTTTAGTAGCTCTAGGGTGTTAAAAAACACCACTAGATCTATGTTTCTTAGATCTGGGAATGACATGTTGAGTAAGCATATGCCCTCATAGTCATGATGTCTGGAAGCTCTGCACAGAACTGATCTCTGATCTCTCATCATCCATCATCCCATTCACCCTCAGAGCATGTGCGAATCATTCGAGAACTCTGCGACATTACTGTGACCACTGGGAAAGACGCCGTCTTTGAGGTTGAGCTGTCACACTCTGGTGTCACCAATGGGGAATGGTGGCTTTCAGACAACCTGCTTCAAAATAATGATCTGAATCAAATGAGCATTATAGGGAGAGTGCACCGCTTGGTCCTCAAGATGGTAACCACGGATGAATCTGGAGATGTTGCCTTCGTGGTGGGAGAAGAGAAGAGTGTGGCCTGTCTTCTGGTGGAGGAGAAACCCAAAGGTAAAGGAGATGAGAGTTTTCACCCTCAGAGCCATCTTCATCAAAAACCACAAATTATTATTATTCTTTTTCAAATCCACTGGCATTTTACATTTTTTTGTATTTTCATTAAATATATTTTATAGTATTTATTAATTTTTAAGGGCTGATAGAGGTACTTTAGCTCAACAAAGCAATACTACTGTAAATTGTATGTTTTAAAACTGGGTAGTTTCAGATATATAATGTACACTCAACAAAAATATAAACGCAACATCTTTGTTACTGCTCCCATTCCCCATGGGATGGACGTAGAGACCTAAAATTCATTCCAGATACACAATATAACCATCCCTCCCAAACAGTGGTCACAAATCAGTCCAAATGTGTGGTAGTGGGCACATCTGCTATATTGAGATAATCCATCCCACCTCACAGGTGTGCCACATCAGGATGCTGATCTGACATCATGAGTAGTGCACAGGTGTACCTCAGACTGCCCACAACAAAAGGCCACCCTGGAATGTGCAGTTTTGTCTCACAGCAAAATGCCACAGATGCCACAAGCAATGAGGGAGCGTGCAATTGGCATGCTGACAGCAGGAATATCAACCAGATCTGTCACCCGTGCATTGAATGTTCATTTCTCAACCATAAGCCGTCTCCACAGGCGTTTCAGAGAATACGGCAGCACATCCAACCGGCCTCACAACCGCAGACCTCGTGTAACCACACCAGCCCAGGACCTCCACATCCAGCAGGTTCACCTCCAAGATCGTCTGAGACCAGCCACCCAGACAGCTGCTGGAACAATTGGTTTGCACAACCAAACAATTTCTGCACAAACTGTCAGAAACCGTCTCAGGGACGCTCAACTGCATGCCCGTCGTCCTCATCGGGGTCTTGACCTGACTCCAGCTCGTCGCCGTAACAGACTTGTGTGGGCAAATGCTCACATTCGATGGCGTCTGGCACGTTGGAGAGGTGTGCGCTTCACGGATGAATCATGGTTCACATTGTTCAGGGCAGATGGCAGCTGAGAATGTCCCAGTTCTTGCATGGCCAGCATACTCACCGGACATGTCATCCATTGAGCATGTTCGGGATGTGCTTGACCGGCGTATACGACAGCGTGTAGCAGTTCCCACGAATATCCAACAACCTCGCACAGCCATTGAAGTGGAGTGGACCAACATTCCACAGGCCACAATTGACAATCTGATAGACTCCATGCGACGATGTGTTGCACTGCATGAGGCAAATGGTGGTCACACCAGATACTGACCGGTTCTGGGTCCCCAGACCCCCAATAGCGCAAAAACTACACATTCCAGGGTGGCCTTTTGTTGTGGGCAGTCTGAGGTACACCTGTGCACTACTCATGATGTCAGATCAGCATCCTGATGTGGCACACCTGTGAGGTGGGATGGATTATCTCAATATAGCAGATGTGCCCACTACTACACATTTGGACTGATTTGTGACCACTGTTTGGGAGGGATGGTTATATTGTGTATCTGGAATGAATTTTAGGTCTCTACGTCCATCCCATGGGGAATGGGAGCAGTAACAAAGGTGTTGCGTTTATATTTTTGTTGAGTGTAGTTCTGCAGCATAGTTATTGTTGTGACTGTATTTCCCATTTGGTGAGGTAATACATTTCTTACATTAGTCTTTGGTGCCCAGCCGTTAAATTCTGTATGTAATTTTCATCCCTGTGCTTGTTTATTAGTCTAGCTAGACATGGATTTAAAGTAAATTTGACTGCTTGCTAGAAACATACAAACACAAGACAGTAATTCTACATTTTTTTTAATTGTCATATTATTTTATGTATAATTTGTGTTACAGTAGTGCACAGAAATCAAGAATGAAAGCATAATGCCAGTGCAGAACGGTTGCATATAAATGCTACTTGTCCTGTATTTGCAGTGCTAATATTAGAGAAGCCACACAACACTGTTGCATTAGAAGGTGAAACGGTCACTTTGGCCTGCACCATCTCTGACCCCAGTGGTAAGGTTACATGGATCAAAAACAATGTGGCCCTCCAAGCGGGTCTCAAGTATGACCTGAAGAAGAATGCAGCATTTCATCAGCTTCGTATTCACAACCTGGTGGCTGAGGACGCCGGAACGTATACCTGTGACACTGGGGATGCACAGTGTGATGTCACGCTGACTGTGGAAGGTAAAAACATTGGATTGAAATGGACAACTAAAATATTCTTGAACGTCCACCTCCTTCAACCACCCAGTATAGTCTGAAGCCCTCAGGGATGTTTCTGTCATCATCTCCACTATTTGACATCGAACTTGCCATCTCAATATGTTATATCAACCTTTCTTACTTTAAACTCTCACCAGGTGCCCCAGTCTTCTTCCAGACAGAGCTCAAGAACCAGGATGCCATAGAGGGTGATGATATTACTCTGCACTGTGAGCTCTCTAAGCCGTGTGTTTGTGTTGAGTGGAGGAAAGGAGGATTAGTCCTCCGGCCTGGTAAGAAGTATGAGATGAGACAGTCAGGGTGTATTCAAGAGCTCTGTATATGGAATCTGGAGCCTGATGACAGTGGCTACTACACCTGCGATGCAGGAGACCAGCTCACTACAGCTTCTTTAGCAGTGCAAGGTAGCCTCCCATTCAGTACTGTTGCAGTTTTTCTTAATTGTGAAACTTCTATCTGGCTCATATGTTGTGTGTTTTTTGTTTAGAGTTGGCATTATGATGATCATGAGTACATTTAAGGCTCAATGTATTCATATTTTCCACTCAACAGCAAAAGAAGTCGTCATTGTTTCTGGCCTTAAGTCCACCGATGTTTTTGTTGGCGAATGGGCAACTTTCTCCTGCCAGCTCTCTGGTAAAACCCACGGCAAGGTGCAGTGGTGGCTGGATGGCAGCTTGTTGGAGAACAGCCCCTTTAGTGAGATAGGGCTGGCCCAGGGCCACATCCACACACTCACCTTAAAGAACCTGGCCACAGATGACTCTGGCACTGTCACCTTCAAAGCTGGCAGTTTAACATCAACAGCCAAGCTCTTGGTCAAAGGTATCATGAAAATGTTAACTGCAGACTGAGATAAGCTTTTTCCCAGAGACTGAGATAAAACAGTCTCTTTTAGTCTTATACAATCTCTAAGGATCCTGCAGTGTTTTAATTCTACATTTAAAATCTTAATGGGTCAATTTTCCTACTTCAGTATTCCTTATTATTTTGAATTAAATAGAAGCAGGAAACTAATATATTTATGTTTTCTATTTAATAACTGGCATTTACTACAAAAAAATGTGCCATTCTTAGTGAAGAATATGGGGTTCTATACTATGAAATATAATCATATTTCATATATAATCATATTTTTACTGCAGGGTTCCATCCAGCTATTTGACATATTAGTGCTCCATCATGCATGAGAAGCAGTAGTTTGCATTTCATTAATAATAAGAAGTTATGTTTTATTCAATATGCTTTGATATAATCTAAAAAATACAACTGGGTGCAGCACCACAGTAAAGCTTTAGGAACCTTTTCGACTCAATTAACTAGTATTAAAAATGCTGCTCTTCTTTTGAATGTAGGGCTGCTGAAATGATGAAAAATAATAATCACGGTTATGTTTCTCACTTTGAAACACAATCAGATTTACTAATTTTGTGGAGCATTGTTATACCTTAAGAAGTACTTTCTGATGCATCATCATTGACGTGTAAACAATGAGTATAATTACACTATAGTGAAAAGAACAACTAGAGAGCAACTTGCAATGGGATCACGCAAGCCCCCACACCTGGTCTGACTAAATCTAGCAACGTTGTGACAGTTTTGTTGATAAAATCCTTTACAAACGGATATAAACACTAGTTCTCTAATGATGCTAGCCTTATATTGTTCACATTCAAGCTACAGTAGACAGACCTCACTTTGAGCCTGGTGTAAAACAGAACACAAAAGGATTGATTCAGAGTGACGCTCTGGTCTAAAACCTCTCCCAAGGAGGTAATGTTTTTAGAGGCATTAGTATGCATGTGTGTTTCCTACAAGGTCAGTAGATCAATCTGAGGGTTAAAGTGACAATAATGATATATATGGAGGTATTTAAAACTATGTTTCTTACTGCCATCATTTGTATTGTCAGTATATGGGCATGTGTGTGCATTGAGTTCTTCTTCAAGATAAAATAATGTTGAAACTTAATAACGATAATAATGTCTTTTATCTTTAAAAGTGTGCTTTAAATTTTACTGCCTTTGTTTGTATTGACAACATTTAGGAAATAATACTGGTATATGGGGATAAAACATTTTAAATACAACATTATAGTTTGCATCCAAATATCATCTGAAATTTGAAAAATTATTCTCAAAATGATATCAAGTGTGTTAAAAGGATTTTAACAAGGGAGGTGTCCAAAAGTACTTCTAGAAAACAAAATGAATATATACAAAAGACAGTACTACTCTCTTGAAAAGTAAATATTGCCCAGGTTTGGACTCTTGGAGTGCTTCTTATTAGTTTAGTCTTCATTGTGAGTCCCTTGTGGTTTAGTCAGTCTAGCTATCAGGCTAGCTGACCTTTTGGCTGGTGGGTGGTGTTTCTGGTCCACATCCTGTGACTTTTTGTGTTTGATTTTCCTGCTTTAACATCTTGCCGGTTTTTTCATGCTCAATTTAAGGTTATATGCCCAGATTCAAGCTTTAATTACACTCGTATCTATACCGTATACTATTATCCATATTCTGACTGCAAATGTTGTAGCCAAACAGCTATTAAAGTTGTAAGCAGCTCCTTTTAACCATGCCTTCAACAACAGGGAAGGGAAGACCAATTAATACAAGAATGCTGAAAACAAGCATCATCAATCTGGGATTTCTTCATTCATTTTAAGCTTTTTTTAAGCATGATCGTGATTATTACAATGTTAACCTGCAGCCCTAACTGTAAGTATCCCTCAGTAATATAAATAAGAAGCCTGTCTTATTTGATGTTTGGATTCAGTAAAAAAAAACAAACATAATCTAGATCTGGCTTCCGCCATGTTAAAGTTCACAGATGGTGAACCAGAATATTGAAATGCTTGAAAGAAAGTGCTGCTCCACCCATCCATACAGGCCGGCTGCTCTCAAATAGTCATGCTCTATTCATCTCCTCTGTCCCATCCTACCAAACCCTTCTTCTAACCTTCCAGCATTAAAATCTCTAACTCTTGTAAATACACTTTGAGTTTGGCATTTCTATCTACTATCACTCCCTTCTTCTCTATGAGCTGCCAGTAAGTCTTGACCCTTGGTTGTGAACTTTGACTGTTGGACTTTTTGACCCCCTGAGAGCTTATGTAGGTTAATGCATTGGACGATTTGAAAATACATAAAAATATACATAGAGTATTGGTACCTTACAATCAGTAATTTCAAAATGGTATCACTCACATATTTACACTCAGACATGCTTTTGGGGGTTATAAAGCACTTATGTCAGTCGGCATGGCCCGCTTTTATCCTTACATCTCATGGCCAGGATTTGATCCTATGATCCCCTGACCCCAACCTCAGATCCCACAGTTGAAGTGGTGAGCGAGATGGAGGACCTTCGGGTGGTTGAAAACCAGCCGGCTGAGTTCATCTGCCAGTACTCAAGACCAGTGAAGGCTCAGTGGAAGAAAGATGGGCAGCCTTTGCAGCCTGATGGCCGAAGGGTGGTAGTGGAGCAGGACTGGAATGTGGCTCGCTTGTACATTAGCCATGTGTCTGCTGAGGACAGGGGCACATACTCCTGTGAGGCAGAGGGGACCTGCGTGGTCGCTTCACTTCATGTGGAAGGTGAGCTTCCCTCCACATGGAAAAAGCACCAGGCTTTAGGGGATCTTCTCTGCTTCTTCCCAGAAAAACGTCTTTGGAAAAAAAACCCAAAAACAGACCTTTTACTGATCATCACAGCATTTTTGCTCTTGGTTGACAAAGGCTTAACTATTTTACTTTTGTCTTTGAGAACTGCAGTCCTTTTATAATCTATTATAATTAAGTTACCATGGTTTCTTGCTTTCTACAGCCAAACCCATTACCATTGTTCAGGGCCTGGAGAATGTGGACACTTTTGATGGAGGCGAAGCGCTCTTTGAGTGTGCCCTGTCTCGTCCTGAGAGCAAAAACTGCCAGTGGCTTCTTGATGGCAAACCACTGAAAGAATCCCCTAATGCTGAGGTTGTATCATTCGAGAGCGGTCGTCGCCATCTGCTCCTGCTGAAAGAGCTGCGCGTCAAAGACGGTTGCACGGTGACTTTCAGAGCTGGCGCAGCGTCCACATCTGCCCAGCTCACTGTTAAAGGTAAGTCATCAAAATGAAGACTGTACAACAGTGAAGCTGTAGTAATATTATGATCTTGACTTTAGTCAGCTGTGAATTACGACTTTTTTGTGGATTTTTCCCATGTAAGGTTGGCAGTTGGCCATTGTGAAGGGTTTGGAGGACAGAGTGGCTGCAGTGGGGGAGAAAGTCGAGTTCTGTGTTGAGCTCACGGAGGTGGTCCCTACGACAGAAGTGGTCTGGTATGCTAATGGAGTTGAGCTGAAGCCCAGTGACCTCTGGGCTATGAGGGCCGATGGTCGGTCTTACCGCCTTGTCCTGAGACAGGCGCCTCTTTTGCCCCAGCAGGAAATTACATTTGCTGCCAGAGATGCTATCTCTCTGGCCAAGCTCACCATCATCAGTAAGTGTTTAATGTCTATGTCTATGTCTATGAAAAGATTAACAAATATCCCTTTAAACCTGTATATAGAGTTTACTCCAATTTTTTGTAATTCTGAGTTTCAACCAGGGAGCGCAGAACCAGAATTTAAATTTTGGACAATTCAGGGTATAGTAGGAAGCTAAGGTAATAAAAATCTTTTGAAGAAGTATTGAGCAGGTATGGCATACCATCAAAGCTTCTTCTTAATACCTCCAACTGTGAAGTTTTATATTAGCTAGGCAGTTCAGTAGTAGTTTGAAGCTCTCTTCTTTATCCACCACTGAAGATTTCACTTTGAAATTTGTACAGTCTAGTGGCCTGGTGTCCGTCTTAAACAACATGTTTGCTAGTAGGTACAACGTGTCATTTCATAACATACTACATGCCACTAGTATGGAGAACAGATTTCAAATACTATGTAAACAAGAAACAATGGTCAGAAGTGTGGTCTTAAGTTCCAACACAAACTAAAGCAATATAAATGGATAAATAGGCAATGCATTGCTCCAACAAGGCTGTGTTAACGCTAATACTTTCAACATTTGCATTAAATGTAAGAATCTTTGTTCCCACTTTATGTGGGAATGCCCTCTGATTCAATCTTTTCGAAAAAGGCTGCTGGAAATATGTAACCAAATTTCTGAGTAATAGATTCCTCTTAATTGTAATTTATGCTTAGTAAATATTTATCCCAGATGGTGCTGTGATCTCTAAGAATATCAGGTCCTTACTTAACTTCTGCTTTTTGGAAGCCAAACAGTACAGAGCTTTCTCTTTGAAGAAGCAGCAAACCTGTGCAAATTTACAGCGGCCTAAGACATTCTTTAGAAAAGATAAGCTATCTAACAAAAACATGGAAAGTTCTGGAGCATTTGGAACACCTTCCATATAACTTTCATAACAGATTAACACTGTAGAGTATTTGGTTTTAAATTAGTGTCCATAAATACATCTAATGGCGGTTTTTCTTTTTCCCTTCCCCATAGCTGTGCCTGATCCTCCAGAGGATCCGGAGGTCCTCAGTAAGACAAAAAAGTCTGTTACCCTCTCTTGGTTCACACCTTTGCATGATGGAGGAAGTCCCATTCTGGGCTACAGAGTGGAGATCCGAATGGTAGACAGTGCCCTCTGGCTTCCATGTCATTCTGAGCCTGTGCGTAACACCGAATTTGTGGTTGAAAATCTCAGTCCAGGCAGTGCCTACAGGTTTAGAGTGGCAGCCATCAACAGAGCAGGGATAGGGGAGCCTGTTGAGCTGCCTCAGACTGTTCAGCTTGGTGAGTGAATGTACGCTTCACTTAACACAAGTAGCTGCTTTTTTCTGTGATGTTGTGCTTATAATTGCAGTTCATGTTTTATGTCACATGGTGATATGAGATCAAGCTTTATGCAACTGCAACATTCTAGCCAAAGATGTAATGCTAGAAACCAAGGAATTTTGATATTTTATAAACTTTAATATCATTTGTTTTTCTTCTCTTCTTGAAACACAGAAGCACCTCCTCTGCCACAGATTACTCCAGGTAGGTCACTGTACGCTGTATATGTGGTACTTTTTGTATTTCTCCACAAGCTCTGCTGTAGCCCTAATGTAGCCCTGCACATAAATGTTCAACGTAAGGATTAAGCACCAATTAAAGAGGGCGTGGTGCTGTATGGACCATAACTGTAACTCCATTGTGGTCATATGTGTAGATGCAAAACAGGAAGTAACCGAGGCACTGGGACAGCCCAGTCTTCCTCCTGAGGCTGCTGAAGAAGGTGATCTCCATGAACTTTGGGAAGCATCAGCCAAGAAACGACGCATGAGTCGGGAGCCAACTCTGGACTCCATCTCTGAACAACCAGAGGAGGATGGCAAAAGGGGTCAGAGCAAATTAGACCAGAATCAGCTTCCACAATCTGAGAAAGTGGAAGTCAAATCAACAGAGAAGGAGCAGGCCATTGTGTCAAAGAAGCAGACAGAAGCCAGCCTGTGCACCAGCTCTGAGGACGAGTCTGTTTCTGGGCGTTCGACGCTTGTTTCCTACCTCAAAAAGAGCAGCAAGACTACTGAGACAGTGACAAAGGAAGCAGATACTCTAGCCACTGAGAGGTTCTTCGCACATTTCCAAATGTCAGAGCAGAAAACTGTGCAGCAGACAGAAGTGAAAACAACTGTAGTTCAGCAAACCCAAGAAAAACACGTGTCTACAGAGGAAACTAGCATCATGGAGATCGGTAAAGAGGATGACCCTGAGCTCAGAGAAGCTGCTGTTAAGATTCAAGCTGCCTTCAAGGGCTACAAGGCCCGCAAGGACATGCGTCCTGTTTTTAAAGAAGTCTTCAAAGACCAGACTAAAGAACCTAATGGCACCATACATCTGGAATGTGTGACAGAAGGTAAACCTGATAAGGTCCGCTGGCTGAAAGATGGAGAACCACTGACGGATGGCAAGCATCATCATATTGATATCTATAATGATGGCACCTGCTCACTGGTCATTACTGCAATCACCACCAAGGACACTGGAGTTTACACATGTGAAGCCACTAACAAGTTTGGGGTAGCTTCTCACAGTGGTAAGGTGACTGTGGGAACGGTAAGAGAATCATCGGGCCGACGGCCGCTTACTGTAGGTTACAGTGCTGACAGTGAGCCTGAGAGCTCCTCCGGAAGTGAGATGGATGAGTCGCTGAGACAGGCAAGCAGACGCCTCCGGCGCCTGTTGCGCACGCGTCTCCCACCAGATGTTGAGGAAGAACCATTTGTCAGTGCAGATGAAGGAGACTTGCGAGCCCCAGACCCACAATCTTACCGTGAAGATAACAATTATATCTATATTCGTTTTGATTCACGGACAGAAGCTGAAGTTGCCTCTACGAGATTTCAGGAGATGTTTACAGTCCATGGGGTTCCTGTGGAGACCACAATCTTACCTGCAGGACCTCACAAAGTGGAGCTGCGAATTAAAAAGATGAGCTACATACAAGATGGTACACAGACGCCCACACAAGATAGACAGCCTCCTGCTTTCATGACTGGAGCTCCAGGTAAGAAGCAGCTTGCTCTCTGTTAATTATAACTTTCTTTATTCTTACACACATTTTGTCTGGTTAGTAATGCACCAAGTTCAATACACCAAGAACAGTTTCTATGTAAGGGGTGGGATTTTTATATTTGCTTTCCGTTTGCTCTTGTTGCCAGCTGCACCGGTCTTCTTAACCGAGCTACAAAGTCAGGATGTTCCAGACGGTTATCCGGTCAGCTTTGACTGTGTTGTGATTGGCAAGCCACCTCCCACTGTTCGCTGGTATAAGGATGGCAAGCTGCTGGAGGAGAACGACCATTACATGATCAATGAAGACCAGGAGGGCTGCCACCAACTTATCATCACCACTGTGTTGCCTACTGATATGGGGGTCTATCGCTGCACAGCTGAAAACAGCAGTGGCATTGCATCTACTAAAGCTGAACTCAGGGTTGACAGTAAGTGAACAGATGATACAAGAAACACACGTTTGCTTTTTAAATACCTGTCCTGGGATAATTGACTAGGCAAACTGTACAGCATCTGTACATCTTTAATGACTTAAAAAATGAGAATTTGGTGCACAAATTTGAATTTATTTTGGACACCAAATTCTTGTCTTTTGAAGTCATTGAGATGAGATTGAGATGCTGTACATCATTCCACCCTGGAAAAAGAACAGTTCAAAGAAAGCATTAAAGGTGGCGACTGTGGTTCAGGGGGTTGGGAAGCTTATCTTGTAACCGGAAGGTTGCCGGTTTGATCCCCAGCTCTATCTCCAGCTCTATCTGTTTTGGACAAGACACAGACCTACTGCCCTACTGATGATGGCCAGAGGGGCCGATGGCGCGATATGGCAGCCTTGCTTCTGTCAGTCTGCTACAGCTGTAGCTTGCCTCCACCAGTGTGTGAATGTGAGAGTGGAATTGTAAAGCACTTTGAGGGTCTCGAAAAGGCTATATAAATGCAATCCATTATTATTGTTATTGTTAAAAGGGCAAAATTACTACAATATTCATGCCCGTAAATGTATGCAAACTTCTGTATAGCTTGTTTTTTTAAAACAGAAGAGAACTTCAGACAAAGTCAGAGCAAAACTAGCATGCAGAATATGTGAGATGGACCTTGAGCCTCCCCTAATATAAAGGCAGGTTTCTCACCCTGCCTTTATATTAGGCAGGGGTAAAAAAAACACAACAAAAACAAACCCACAAAACCTACAGCTATACAGATGTAGCATTTAACTGAAGCATGAAGCTAATTTCCGAACCATAAATCAACATCTTAGAAAAGCAGAGTCCCTTTGCACCTTAAGCATTGTATAACACTATAATAAAATTCCTCCATCAGTGTCTTGCAGCTCAGATTATGACACTGCTGCTGATGCCACTGAGACGTCTTCTTACGTCAGTGCCAAAGGATACATGTCCAGGTAAGTTTATTTATGTTTATTTATTTATTTATTTATATGAACTAAACCTTTATATTGAGGCCTTCACATACAGTTATAGATATACTGGAGCTGCTGTGCTTTACTCTCCTCCAACAGGGAAACTGAGACCTTTGAGTCTGTAGCTGAAGATGATCAGCTACCGCAGGTTGTGGAGGAGCTTCATGATGTTCACGTCTGTCCAGGTTCACCTATTGCAAAGATGCAGCTTAAAGTAAAGGGTAAAGTAAAGATTTGTTAATCCATCCCAGTGTTCTAAAAACATTGCATATGATTTAAGAATAATGTTTGTCAAATTTTTGTTGTTTTCCAGGTTTCCCGAAACCCAGAATATACTGGTTCAAAGATGGCCACCCTCTACGACCTTCAGAAAGAATTCATTTGTTAGCAGAGAGAGACGTTCATGGCGTGGAGATCACGGAGGTGAAAAAAGAGGATATGGGGGAGTACTCCGTCTACATCAGCAATGCAGCTGGTTCTGCTTACTCCTCTGCCCGGATGATAGTATTGAGTATGTATACACGTGCCTGAATACAAAATACAAATCTCAAATGAAACAATGAGATACACTTTATACATTTGCAACACTTTTTGCAACAGGTCCTGGGGAGATTTTACCACAAGAGAAAAAGGGTAATTTAACATTTATCCTACAAACCACAGCACAAGTATATGTACTTTCAGTAGACATGTCCATATATTCAAAATGTCACATTATACACTTTATTTTCACAGACCCTAAAGAGCCCCTGGTGCCACCCCGCTTTATTGAAAGGTTCAGCAATAGGAAGGTGAAACAAGGAACAAGCATCACTCTGTCTGTGAAAGTAGAAGGTGCGTTACTACACTTTTCTAGATAAGAAGAAAGTCTAGATTTTGGGCTCTATCTGCCATGCAGCATTATTACAAAGTCTCCATAATCACCCGTCTTCTCTCTTAGGATCTCCTACTCCCATGGTCAACTGGCTAAAGGAGGAATCTTTGGAGGATGTCCTGTGGATCAAGCCTGACACTAAAGGATACAAAATAGCAAGCTCTGGGCGCCACCACAGTCTCATCTTGATGGACGTGGGCACAGAGTACACTGGTGCCTACACCTGCATTGCAACAAATAAAGCTGGACAGTCCATCTGCACTGCTCACTTGGAGGTGGATGAGAGTAAGGAGAATAACGTCATCAAGACACTTTATTTTGAAATGACAGGTTAAATGAGTGTCTTCTTATATCAGAAACACTTAGCAGAGCACTTTTCAAACCACCCTTCCGCTTTTTTTCTCCCTCCTCTCTAGCTCCTCAGCCCAAGAAAGAAACAGCGGCTTCAGAGTAAGTTATTTTTGAAACCTTTTGATTGCCTTGCACATAAAAAGATGTCTGTAGTAAGTACATTTAATATAAATGTAAATACATGACAAATTTTAATACTGAAATCCGCTCAGGGTTCTTGGGATTACAGTTAGTCCTCCACAGGAAGATACTAGCAAAGGAAAAGGTAAGACGTACTAGCTAATCATCAGGCCCAGTAATGTTTATTTTTGATAAGATATATAAATGAATAAAAATAAATGTTAAGATATTTATGGTGTTCTTTACTTTTTGCCAACCCTTAAGAGGGCAAAATGCCTTTCCTAGGTGAAGTAGGTTCAGAGGAATTCCTCATGAAACTCACCTCTCAGATCACTGAAATGGTATCAGCCAAGATCACCCAAGGTAAGTGGACCATTATAGCTCTGCATTAAATATTCAGAGACTAATGAGTTCATAGTACTTTATAAAATACAAACCTTTATGTCCATAAGGCATTTCAGAACTGGTCTATTCCGGCTTCAAGTCTGGTTTAAACCAAGATAAATGAATGATTATGCTAGCATTGGACTGTAGCTCCTTCTCAACAAGTCTCATAAACAGTTTAGATTAGGATATAGTTTAAAAAAAAAACAAGAGAACATACATTCTCAGGATAACAAACATTAAATTATATGACTTGAACGATCACAACACCTTCAATCTCTTAAATTACCTTGTGTCTGTAGTTGTACTAAAAATGTGCAGGTTAACTATCCATATTCCCTCTGCAGTGACTGCATTTGGTAGTTACTAATGCTGAAGACTGAAGTATGGATCATAGATTATGTTGCATACAGTGCTTCTGTTGCATTGCTCTGTTATTTTCTTGTCAGGTTTGGTTGAATTCTTTGAATTCATTCTGGCTGTTTAAGAAATGTTTAATCCGAATGCTTTAATGCTTAAATACTGAACTGGCTATCACTTTCCTTTGTTTCTGAACACCAAACCTGACCGAGGAATGTTTCTTAGTGCCATGTTAGTGCTTATCTAGTGCACGCTTTAGCTTATTTATGCATTTATGACATAAAATCTCCCATTCCTTCATACAGACATCATTTCCTAACCACCTTTACACCCATTAGTTTATCACTCCCACTAAATAAATACTCATTAAATGATTAATTTGTTATTCAGACAGTTTACAGAATCATGAAGTGCTCCAGTGGATGAAATCTTGGCCCAAATCTGCCAGTATGTATCCAAGTGCATCAGCATCACAGATACTCTGCAGTTTTCCACTGAAATATTTTCTATCTATTAATAATGACTTTATAAAACAGTTTTCCTTACATTTCCTTTTACATACAAGAAATATTTAGTTATACATACAACAACTCTATTTCAGTGTCAGCTTAATAACAGCTAAGCCATCCCCTTTTATTTCTATTAGTGCCCTCTATATCTCCTTACTCATCCTCAATGAGTTTCCTCATCCTTTCTCTTGTTACTAAAATAGTTTTTGCAATAACCTATGAAGCTTCTGTATAAGTGGAATACATGCTCACCAAGCAGACATGTATGTGGAGAGCTGAGATAAAAGTGAAGCTGCATGTTGTCATGATACTAATACAGTAATACATGTTAGAGCATTAGAATGATTAACCACTGTGGATTTCTCCCCTCTGTTTTTGCATCGTAAAAACTATGTCGTTACTTCAGTATACAGAAAAATTCAAATTGACCAGGTAAATACAACACTGGTACACGCTAGCACACAGTTATGGTTTTAAATATATATTTAAGCTGATGGACCTGAGTGAGTGTGGGTACTAATACCTACTGCATAGGTTTAAAGGACAGATTATACTAATTGGACATTTCTGTACGACTGACCTGTCTTCCTTTGACTTCCTCCTTACTGCTCCAGCTTCATTACGCGTACCAGGTGGTGACAGTGATGATGAGACCAAGACACCTTCTCCATCACCTCATCACGGTCGCTCCCGTCCTCCCTCCCTCATTGCTGACTCCTCCTCTGAGTCTGATGAAGGAGACGCCAGGGGAGAGGTGAGATACAAAAAAATTTCCATTAAGTTCATAATGTTCATAAATTTTTGGCCTTTATATCAGAATTTCATCGATTAAATTCTGACACACCATGGCAGGATACTATATAAAACAAGGAAATGAAAGTTTTAATGGTGCAGTTTATTTGAAGAAATAAAGGGAAATTCAATTAAGTTTTTTTTATACATAGACAGGTGTGAATGGTTATCTGTCTCTGTGAGTTAGCCTTGGGGCAGATTGGTATTCTGTCTCTCACCCTCTGACAGCTGGGATAGCTTCCAGTCCCCCTGCAATCCTGTTATTAATACACACACATATATATATATTTTTTTATAGATGTTTGATATCTATGTAGCAACAGCTGATTACAACCCCATCGTGGCGAGCAAAGATTCCATCTCTCTAAAAGAGGGACAGTATGTTGAGGTTTTGGACTCGGCTCACCCGCTCAAGTGGTTAGTTCGGACCAAACCCACCAAAATGACACCATCCCGCCAAGGCTGGGTCTCACCGGCCTACCTGGACAAAAAACTCAAAGTATGTCTCAAGACAATTGCTTCCAGCTCGCCACTGCATGTTGCACGCATTGGGTAATATTTTTTTTTAAAAATTAAAATTTCTATTACAGCTCTCCGCTGATGCTGGCGATCTTCCAGAAACAAGTGTGGAAGAGGTGTCTGAAGGAGAATACAAGAGAAAATTATTGTAAGTGAAGCATGTTTGTCGTGACAAAGCAAACCAACCAAAGAACCATAACAAACTATTAATTCGTGCTTCTAGCCAACTGATCCAGGAACTGATAAACGGAGAATCAGAGTTTGTCAAGGAGGTGGAATTCTTCACCTCCCATCACCTGAAGCATGCAGACAGTTCTGATGCACCGCCTGACGTCACCAGCCAGAAAGAGGCTATTTTCAGAAACATTGATGATATCAAATCCTTCCATAACAAGTGAGCTCACCTCTTAAATGTTATTTTCAGCCATTTTTTAGTATAATCAGTATGCATCATTCTTATGATTTTCTTTTTAGGGCATTCCTTCCGAAGTTGAATGACTGCGACACTGATGATGACATAGCCATGTGTTTCCTGAAGAACAAGGAGGGCTTTGAGAAGTACCTTCAGTATCTTGTAGGTCAGAGTCAAGCTGAATCTGCCATCAGTGACAAGACTGTGCACAGCTTCTTTAAGGTAACAGCAGAATTGTTATTGCTATACTATGAATTACAAATGTGCCAACTGTTAAAATCTTTTTTTTTTAAACTCCAAAAAACAGGAATATACTGACACAGCGCAGGCTAATTCAGACCCTGCAGATCCACCAGTAAGAAGCATAAATGCCTATCTCCAACAGCCACTGGAGAGGATTCAGAAGTACAAGGCCTTCCTGAAGGTAATAGAGTGCATGCATACAATCATCTTAGAGTCAGTTATTTACTTTTCAGTCATTTGCTTTTAGAGCCTTTAAATTATGTACACGATCAGTGTAACTTCAGTTTTGTTGAAATTTCTGCTGCAACATCTTCAGGAGCTCATTCGAAACAAAGCAAGAAATGGTCAGAACTGCTGCCTGCTGGAAGAAGCTTTTGCAATGGTGTCTGCACTCCCTCAGCGTTCTGAGAATACCCACCATGTCTCCATGATTGAGAACTATCCTGCCACCCTCGAAGTTCTTGGAGAACCAATTAGACAGGTACCACGTAGCTGCCGACTGTGCAGGGTCTTGATTACACATAAGCATTTGACTGTCTGCATATGCTTACTCTCTCCCACCAGGGGCCTTTCCAAGTGTGGGAGGGTGCTCCTGGAATTAGAACGTCCTCTAGAGGTCACCACCGTCACGTCTTCCTCTTTAAGAACTACTGCATTATCTGCAAGCCCAAGAGAGACAGCAACACTGATACACAAGCATATATTTTCAAGAACATGATGAAGGTAAGTGTTTTTAACATAATCTAGTTTCATCTTTTCTTTCATGGTCAGCGGCCTAAATGATGTTTGTTGGTTTCTTTATCTTGTTTCAGCTGAATAACATTGATGTGAATGAGACAGTGGAGGGTGATGACCGTGCCTTTGAGATTTGGCATGAGCGCGAGGATTCTGTGAGGAAGTACACCTTACAAGCCCGAACTGTTACCATCAAGAACTCGTGGCTGAGAGACCTCAGAGAACTGCAGCAGCGATACAGCATGCCTGCATGGAGTGAGTGGGACTCCATGCAGTTTTACTTTTTTCTTTACCTCTCTATTGCTTGGAATTTCTAGCACAGCTTTTTATACCAAACTATTTTCTAGGTTCCCCTGATTTTGATGAAATTCTGGCAAACTGCACAGCAGAGCTGGGCCAGACTGTTAAGCTGGCTTGCAAAGTTACTGGAGTACCCAAACCTGCGGTTACCTGGTACAAGGGTGAGGCATTTCCTCTATGGTTATTAGCCATGTGGAGTGACATTCAAAGACTGTTTCATGAGTGGTTTTGTTTACTTGTTGGATGCAGATGGACGCGCAGTGGGGGCAGATCCACATCACATCATCATCGAGGACCCTGATGGTTCCTGCACACTAATCCTGGACAATATGACTGCAGATGATTCTGGTCAGTACATGTGCTTTGCCACAAGTCCAGCTGGCAATGCCAGTACTCTGGGAAAGATCACAGTTCAGGGTAAGTGGCACATCATACCTATATATAGGATGATCCTAAGAGTATTCTTTTCTACTGCTTCATTACACTTTTCTTGTGAAAAATGATGAATAGTCTAAAACATAAAACACTGTCATGTGTTTCTTTTAGTACCTCCTCGTTTTGTAAATAAAATAAGGAATGCCATCTTTGTTGCCGGTGAGGACGCTCAGTTCACCTGTGTAATACAAAGCGCCCCCAAGCCCAAAGTGAGGTATGGATACCTTCCTTATGTTTTCTTCTTTCCTTCATTTTGATTCAGTTTTGCAATTTCTTTTGAATATCAACCCCATCCTCTAATCTTGTCTCCTCTCTGCATGTGTCCCTGTTCAAGGTGGTTCAAGGATGGCAGGCTGCTGACTGACCAGCAGAAATATCAGACCTACAGTGAGCTCCGGAGTGGCGTTCTGGTTCTGGTAATCAAAAACCTGACAGAGAGAGACCTTGGACACTATGAGTGCGAGGTTGGTCTAGACTAATTCATTTCCATTTATCTGTATTCGTTTTGTGACATTTCAGAGTGTACATAATCTCTGGGCAATCACTTAGTAAGGTTAAGACCATACAGCATTACATAGAGAGATATAACAATTTGAAAGCCCCTGTTGCAAGTAACAGTAAAATAAATACATTTAAGAGGAAGAAATGTCTGGCATGAAGAGGCTCTGGGAGGGCAGTTATAATATGTGAGACAGGGAGACTCGTGAACCTCGAGTTTTGTACACTTAATGTTAAATGATTGACAGAAGTACTCCAAATATATTAGGATCATTAAAACTATTAAGATCCATTTGTTCAGAATTTGGAGCTCTACAGTAAGAGGTCTCAATACAAGAAAATATCTCAGATAATTACAAAAATAACATTTCCTTTATTTTTAAGGGTCAATGAGGGGAGATTTTAATGCAGGTCATGCATTTGCCTTTGTGCCTATAAATTAGTTTCAAGATAGTTGATATTAATTAGCAGCAGTGAGTTACATTTATGACTCTAAAAATATATCTGTTGGATTTCAGTTGTCGAACCGTCTGGGCAGTGCAAAGTGTGCTGCTGACTTGGTCTTCCCCTCCGCTGTGGCTCGCTCTGGTGAGCAGGCCATCACCATTGAAGGTAGCAAGTCTGGCTTTATCCATACAGTCTTACTCTTTTTTTTGGACGTTTTGTGGTTTTTGTTGAGCAGAAAATGCTTTGAGTGCAGCTTTAGCAATGCAAAATAACCATCATGCTTTGTCCATGTTCCTCCCACAGTTACCGAGCAGGAGACGAAAATACCAAAGAAAACCATCATCATGTAAGTACGATCAAAGTAAGATCGAATAGTTGGATGTTGAATAATCTTGGATTTTCTTAACTTAACACTACAGTATACTTTAATAAAATAATTTCTATATAATATATATTTTAGGAATCTTTAAGGGGGTTCTTTTAAGATAAAGTTCCACTGCAGTTTTGGGGTTCATGTATCTGTGTAGGTATTGCTTTTATCACTAGATAACATTGCCCATCATAGGGCATTTTGGGGCATTTTTCTGTATGTGTGTGTGTGTGTGTGTGTGTGTGTGTGTGTGTGTGTGTGTTTCCCCTCTGGCTCCATGTATGCATTGTGTAGTATTTATAGCCTCGATGCAAAAGGAATCTATCACAAGGATAATGAAAGGGTGGGCTGTTCTCATCAGGGTGCTGTCTACTTCAACTGTCAGCCTAATTACTGCAGCTTATTACTATCATATTATTTTTAAATCCAAGACTCCAAGCAAGGTGGATTTTATTTACATAGGCCTATTGCACTTCTTATTCCAGTGAGGAGACTATAACCACCGTGGTGAAGAATCCTCGAATGAGAAGACACAGATCACCTGGCTTGACTCTTGCTGGTGTCCACCGCTCTGAGACTTCCACCCCCGAGCTTCCTACAGCCAGGACAAGGAGGATGCCCACTCCAAGAAAGACCACTATCCCAACTCTCTATGTTACTGATCCCCAGGGGGCGGAAGCCAGGGGAACAGAGAGCAAGCCCAGGTGGGTTGAAGTAGAAGAGGTCATCGAGTATAAGGTCAATAAGTCTCCCAGGTTGTCCAGGAGGAGAGGTATTTCGCCAGCAGGGTCTGATCGTGCAGGCACACCCTCGAGACCCAAAAGGTCTCCAGTGGAAAACCCAAATGCTAACAATTCCAACAACAAGCTTGTGGAGCAAGCACAGGCCCACCTGCAGGGAGACATCAGCAGCCAGCCGCTCTCCTGGGAGGAAGAGGTGACTGATGCTGCATCTGGGTCTGCTTCTGGGGAGCCGCACGAGCTCTCTTCTGTTCTCACTACAGCTGGAGAAGATCACGACGACCTGGATGATCAACAAACTGTAATTTTTGAACCCGATGACGAGGAGGATACATCTGCAAGAAAGCAAGAGCCTGTGTTCCTAAAACAAGGAGATCGTGTTTTAACCCTTGAGGACTTGGAGGATTACGTCCCAGAGGAAGGAGAGACTTATGGCTCCTCCCACACGCAACACGTTAACGAAAAGCCTTGTGAGATCTCTGTGCTTCAGAGAGAGATTGGCGGTTCTACAGTGGGACAGCCGGTGCTTCTCAACGTGGGCCGGCCTGATGTGGTGCCCCGGCAAAGGACTGGCTTCTTCAGTCGGTTCAGGGAGAATCTCTCCAGCAGCCTTTTCTCATCTGCTGTCCCACCGCAGGCCAGGGAGGCTCGGTCCAGGGCGGAGAGGAACGTGCCTATTCAAGTGAGCCATGCAAAGCTGGAAGTGAAGCCTTCGTACTGCTCAGAGGTGCAGAGAGTTGAGGGCAGGCAGCAGAGTTTTAAAACCAAAGTGTCAACTCAGACCTATGGTTACACATCAGTTGGCAATCCTGTCACTCTTCAAATTAGAGATGACCTTTATCAGAACCAGTGAAAAGCAAACATTTAATTTGGCATCACAAACCCTCTTAGTCTTAAATAGGGACATTCACTAAACATGAAAATACAGATCGTAACCTGAGCAACATTTACTGCATTTGACAAACCATTCCATTTTTAGCCTGCCAATCAGATAATAGTGTCATCCTTAGATATTTTCTTGACAGACTGTTAGACTCTACTGTCTCTTACAGATGAGATGGAAACTATAGGGATATACATGTTGTGTGATGTACAATATGCATGATGGGCAGAAGCTAAGAAAGGTCTGACATTTACTGATTAAAACCTTCATATCTAATGGTGAGTTGAAGTCTTTAAATAAAATAAATGCTTTTTGGTTATACATACAGTGATTGACAAATTTATGAGACTGCCACCCCCAGTGTAAGGTTTATGTCACAGCTCCCTAAATTAACAGTACTGGTGATTACCAACATCAGTTTTATGTTTCTGTGATGGTTAATCCACTGGTATACCATATTACAGTTATTTACTTGCATGATTGTTATAATTAATTTGTGACTGCAGAGAAATCTAGTGTCTATTTTTTATTGGTCTTTATTGGGTATAAAATGCATTTTTGAGAGATAACAAATTACAATGATGTTTAACAGTGTACCTACGCTGAATGATCAGCTTTACTCCCCAGTATTAACTGATCCAGATGTAATCCTTAGTCCATTGCAACATACATGAATAGGATTTATATTTTTTCAGGTTTTACTTTGGTACCATTCAGGTCATGCTATGGCACTTTGGATTCCTGGAGCTGGAAATATTGGGAGGTAATGAGATGCATGTTTCAAGTAAGCAACACTGAATATAAAAGTAGTGTAAACTTGGGGACTGTTGTGTTTCAGGAGCTGTTAGTTAATCAAATTGGAGAATCACAAGTCTCTACTACATTATTTTGTGGTGTTGTGAATGATTCCTTAGTGAGCAGTTTATAAACACGACATTTGCACGAGCAAATCATTTGGTAGGTGAACAGATGCCTGTTTCCAAGTTCCTACCATCAACTAACTGAATTTTTTACTCAACTTTTTTGGCATTTGTGTCTGCTAGTGCGGTGAAACAGCCTGTAAACCCAGGCTGTTACAGGGATATTCCTATGCAAGTGACAAATATGTAGATGAGTGACTGCATGTATTTGCTTCTCCAAGACAGATGTGTTTCTCTAGAATAACCAGTTGTCATCCTATATTTGATTGAGCGCAAATGTTTATGCAAAGTACTTCAGCTGACAAAATTTACTAACTTTTTAGTGCAATTTAAAAGTAACTAGAGTAACTTCCTAATTAAACATGTGTGGTGTTTGTGTTGAAAAGGTGTCTGTTAAAAGGATGATTTTATGTAATAATTTTAAATCACAAACTGATTGTACTTGCTTGTACTGTACATGTGTAGTTTTGGACAAAACATGGTTGAGTACAACGTGTTCAATTGAATAAAAGTACTGCAAATATGCCACATAATTAGCTTCTGTAGTAATTTCTTTATATAGCACAAATTCGGCATTGTTGTATGGTAACATTTACTGATGTTTCAACATAAAAGTCATAGTGCTGAGTACATGTTTACAACAAGCACATTCCTATAACAGCTAGTTTGGTTTTAAAGAGGCCTTCGTGTATTTGTTCAGCATGATGTAACATTTGTGAGACTTGAATTTAAATAGTAGCATCAGGAACATAAAGTACTCTGAGCAAAGGAATGAATGTTACAAGGTACAGGAATATAACGATTTAGGCATAATTGGCTATCCAATCTAAAATGGACATTTTTAAAATATTTACTGTTTTCTCAATTCTAAGCAATAAAAAAAGCAACATATTCGCTGTCATTTTACTGTACAGCTAAAGCTGAAACTTACACAATATAAAGTTTTCACAAATGTACAACATTAAATAAACACGTGTTATAAAAGAATACAATGTAGTTGTACTGTTTCTAACTCTGTGATGGGATTCAATTCTACATGAGCACAGCAGTATTTATAGTTTTCCAGCAAACAAAGTGTAAGGAACCAGGACATTACCTGGCAAGTTATATAACATAATAAAAAAAAATATACCAATAAAAAAAAAAATATTATTCCAGAGTTGGTAAAAAATTTACCAACTCTGGAATAAATAATGTTACTGTTTCAAAGGTATAGCTGACTTATACGTATCCCCTAAAAGTAAAGAGTCACCACATGTTCCTGATAGGCTTGGGCAAAATAGAGTCTTTCTTACCTTCCTCACATTTCACCAAGTATACGATTACATTTGTGTAAATAAACTAAAAGCTGATGATGACAGATGACACTTCAGGTAGGAGGGTGAGAGATTAGCTGGCTGAATGCTTAATCTCGCTCACCCTCGCTAGCTGGCACCAGAAATATTAGTTTATGAAACTCATGAACATTATCAGAACACAACACTGATTCACGATTAGGTTAAGCGGCTATCTGCCAAATTAAAAATAAAATAAAATCAGCTTTCCTGATTATTTTGATCTTGACAATGAACAGTTGTGTCAGAATAAATGGCTTAACTACACAGCCAGAGCGTAGCAACACTACTCGGTACAGGCAGGTGGTGCTCACTTTGAACTATGACAATCTTTAGGCGTAACTCTTTCAAAACAAACTGTTTATCTTTAGGGAGATGAGACTAAACTCGAAATCCACCCCAATATTTGCAACTGCCATGTTTCACAGCTCACTCAGCTCAGCTGTTAATCAGAAGTAATTGCCCTCTGACGAGTGCTGTGCGCTACAATATGACCTAAATACATCACATAAGCATAACACAAAGGAGTGTCTGTATTTTTAACAGTACAGAAAGTACTGTCTAAAAAAAAAAAAGGCCTGGTACCACACGATACTAAGATACTGCCCAAACCTACTTACCAAATTTTAAAGGGGGCCCGAGTGCTGGTTTTAATCTCTAACTCTGACCATCACTTGTGTATTTCACTGCATCTAAGACATTAAACATCAACACAGTGTAGCTGGTTGCGAAAGTCGAAAAGAAACCCCGCCCCCCTCAAAAGAAACTAATCCTTGAAAAACCAGTCTGTCCAGATGATGCAATGAATCGTACTTTTGCAAAAGAATACGGTTGCACACAGTATTTTCTGTCTGCATCAAATTGTTCCCGCTTATCATGCCAGTTGTACTTCAAGTAAGAGTTCTCAGGGTGTCTCCTCTTCAGTGTAAAAATAAAAATGTGAAAAGCACTTTGTTTGTAAAAAAAAATTAAATAAAAATGTCCCACTTTACACTAAGTTATTTATTAGTAACTACTTCTAAACAAAAGCTGTTTGTATATCTGCTGAAGGAAATTGTCCTAGTTTCAAAGACCACCATCTGAGGGAATGTACAAGAGTGGAATTGTGTGTCGGTGGAGTGGCTGAACGACGACCATGATGCTGCTTTCTCCTATGAGGACACTTTCTTGACCTTATCAATTTCCTGCAGAAAAAAAGGTTTTATAATTAGTCAGGGAACACATCGATCTGTGGCAAGAAACTAAGAACAGACTAAGGACATGAAAGCAAGCCTATGCAACGTTTGCTGAACAGTAATCACTCTGGCTGCAAGTAGATTTTTTACAGGATGCGGTTCCAATATTTTTCTTATCCATAACCTACCAGTCATACCGGACGAAAACCTTTTGAGCTAACAGGATTCAGTAAAGGTTTATTCTTCATCAACTTTTAGTAACATCTTTCTGACAAACATCTAAGGTTAAATGCATTTTACACAAGTCCAACTAGTACAGAGGGCTTACTATAAATATAAAACCTCTCTGAAATGATTGAAACCTGTAATGACTGCAGTCATTCTCAATTTGGTGAGTTTGATTAGATTGCCATCAGATTCATAAAGTTTAGACAGAACTTTTGTTTCAGAGGTTCCATGAGGTCCTGGTGGACTGAATGTGAACAGTTAATATCAAATTTCTGTTTGATGTGAATTTCTTTGTATGCAGATGGCAACAGATTTGCACTTTCCACCTGTTTGTTACAAAAATTGCATGCACTTGCTGATATGCCCCTATTCAACTGCAGAACATCTCCGTCTTATTGCTGTTTATAAATCACAGTTTTGTCATTTTGAAGACAGAGTAAATATCCCTATTTGGATGTTTAGTTTAGAATAAAATACATTGAATAATTAAAAGTGTTCCTGGCATAACATTTAAAGTCAATGTTAAAACTTTAATTGCCAAACTTTAAACTGACAGATTGCAAAAAACAAAAAAATAAATAGAAAGTGTGTGTTGTGAAATCGTAACTCACCTCCTTAAGAGCGTCTTTCAACTTCGCATAAGCATCGTCCAAATTATCATTGATGATTATAACATCAAACGCACCAGGTTCTTTGCCTAGAAAGAGATCCATTCATGGTCGGTTATGACGTGCAGATTTATAGTTTGTAACTTTGATCTGTTGAGAGCAAATCACAGCTACTTACTAAACTCCATCTCGATTTTGGCTGTCTGTAAACGCTTTTGGAGGCTCTCCTCCGACTCTGTTTTTCTGCCTCTTAGACGCTTTTCCTGAAACAAGAGAACAGGTTCAACCTACAGAAGCAATTCAGAAGCCAAAACCCGTTTTACCTGATCCCTGTGATGCAAAATTTAACTAGTGATAACACCCACTTGTTTGGTGGCAAAAATGGGAAACTACAGACACGTGCTGTGCACACTTCAAATCTTATGTGCTTACCAGGATTTCCATGGATGGTGGCTGGATGGAAATGAACATTGGGTTGAGGTCTGTCTTTTTGATGTTCTTCACACCCTGCATATCAATGTCTAATAAACAGATGAGGTTCTTGGATTGGACCTCTTGGACAGCTGCTTTACTCGTCCCATACAGGTTCCCGGAAAACTCTGCACTCTCAATAAAATCGCCATTGTCGATGCCTGCCTGCATCACATCCCGCGTAACATAATGGTAATCTGAAACCCGGGAGGAAAAAAGAAAAAAGAAGAAGAAAGAAAGAAAGTACACAAAAAAGGACAATTGAGAAAAAAATCCAACTGTTTAATCAGCCTGCTTTCAGGTTCATTGGTTGTGAAAGAGCAGTGACATGCCGTACCTATGCCGTTCTGCTCTCCAGGTCGGGGTTTTCTTGTCGTATCTGAGAACGGAAAAGACACTTCTGTCACACTAGAGTTTAAAAATCTGGCGCTGCAACAATTTGTTACTCGCTTAGGGAGAAAATAAAAGCTTTACTCATGACTAACAAACCTCAACAGCAAAATAATAAATATTAAAAGTAATGTGAAATTCTTTACAGGGACATAGACACACTTACGTGAGATGCTGAAGCCAAAGACACCTTCATATTCCTTCATGAGCTTCTTCAGCAGAGTGCTCTTTCCCACCCCTGATGGGCCACTACACACCACGGGCCTGGGTCCAGCCATAACTGAAATAACAGCGGAAAAGAAGAGTGTGGTTTGTTATAGGAAACAAATGGGCGAGGCTGCAGAGCAAATCTGTAACCACACAATATGAGTCATCACTGGACCAACTTTACTCTGTGCAGTCACAAGGGTTTTTGCTTCTTTTGTTAGTAAAAGGCAGGTAAAGAGAAGCCTCGGCGAGGTGAGGGACACGCCATAAAATGCTAAGCCAGCAATGTTTAAAAAAAAAAATAAAAAAACATGATGAGAGCAAAACAGCCCTCAGGAGAGCTAAAGCAATCAACTGGTAAGCAAGCTGTGAAGTTACCATAGTGCTGTCGAGGAACAACTACTAATTGAAGCACCCAACTCTGGATGTGAGTGTCAGAAAGAAAAGGAAATTATCTTAAATTTAATTAACAGATATTTTTATGTACTCAAACTACACCTTCATCAGCCTTCAAACTAAAATCTGCAAACATCTTGTGAGCAGGCAGTCAGAGTTCTTTGTTTCTCTACATCTCTCTTTTTCTTCCCTGTTACATCACATTTCTTTTATTACAAATTGCTTGACTATCAACCAAAAGTAAAGAATTAAGCAATGAGTCTCACGTTCCTCCTAACCCCCTTACCTCAAAACACACAGAGCTGACGCAGACAGGAAAATCAAGTCAACAGGAAGGGAACGATTGTGTGTCTGCAGATTGTGTTTAAAAGCAGATGGGTGGAGAGACGGGGAGTGGGCAGGGCCAATTTTACTGCACTAGATTTTTTTTAAAGTTCCATCTTATGATTCAGTTTAAATATCTTATGACTTGGTAGTGACTTGCTATAATGCAGCCATGTATGCATTTTGGTTTCAGCCCTAATGCTCAAACAACCTCTCATTACAAGACACTCAAAGTGTCTCGAAAAAACACTGAACCTAGTAAAGAAGATAACACAGCATAATAAAAGGCATTAAAACACTAGTTTTAACTACACTACTACGTCAAGGTGAGGTGTCTGAATCCCAATAAAGTCTAAGCAATCTTTTAAAATGAAAGCAAAAGTAAACTGATCTGCATGTTTGGATGCTCGTGTGATCTTTTAAGAGCAGAGAATAAAATTCACATTATTATGAGGTTTCTGATTTCCAAGCAGTTTTCCTCCATCATCTTTCAAATGCTTCCCATAAACAGAATCATGGCTAATAAAAGGATGTAGGAGTTCCTTTTATAAAAACTGGATTCTTTAAACAATTTATAGGATTTTATGTTTAATATTTGATTATTTAATCCAGCAGGGCTGGACTGAGACTGTAAATCATGCAAAGCCACTTTAGCAGAGTCCAAGTATGAAATTATCAAGCTGTAAAGAGCATAGCGTGCACCCTTTAAGTAAGAACACAAGACACTAAAATAATTAACACAGAACACCTTTCCTACATAAACTGAGCAGCATGAGAGGAAATGAGAGCCATGTGAGTTTATAATCAACACACAGCATTTATTGGAAGCTGCATGGCGCCTGACTTTAACCACGTGCACTAAATTGCATGTAATGCAATCATTTCCTGAAGCGCGATTTGAAAATCACATGCAATGTTGCATTTTTAAAGTCAGAGACAATCCGCTTCATGTTCAGTGTGAACGTTACAAGAAATAAAAATCTGGATATTTTTCTTTAAAGAAAGTTTATGCAGCCTCCTTTTAAGCAAATATTTCTTGATATTTTGCATATTTGGTTCTTATATGGGCTTAAAAAGACATTATAATAATATCCCTGGTCTCTGGAATTTTTCTAAAAAGCCCCAAAACAAAACAAAAATGAGTATGTCAATACAAACCACCTTGAGGTAACTGCTGTTGTTATTTGGTGCTATAAAATTAAAACTGAATTGAAAAAAAATCTAATTGATGTCTAATTGAACTGGGAAAATGTAGCTGGAAAAAATAAGTTACAAAGCTTTGGTCCATCTTGTAACAATCCTGTAATACCACGCACAGGATGTTGGGTGAACAGATACAACAAACTAAACGTGGGGAAAAACAATGACGGGAGGTAGTCAAATAGATTAGTGCAGCTTTTCCAAATCTCTTACTAAGTAAACACAATAAGGATAAAAGGCAGCTAAAGTTAGCTTTTGCACCACGTGAAAGCTTTTATATACACTTCTGTATCTTCTCTTAGTTCAGCTTCTATTCTGTCCGGTAACAGTCTGTCAGTTTCTGTAGGGATCCACAAATTGGTATACATTTTTCTCAGCAGTTTTTAGGCGATTATGACACACACAATTTAGCTGCTGCTTCGTTTTCTCTATAGTATTTTCCATTATAGCTTTTTTTTTT